CAGTGGCCACAGAACCAATGTCTTTCAGGCCAAGTTCCTCCCCAATTCTGCTGACTCTGTTGTAGCCACGTGTGGCCGTGATGGGCAAGTACGCATTGCAGAGCTGGCCTCCATGCCCCATTACAAGATTACCAGGTGTGTGGCCCAGCACAGGGGAGCCGCCCACAAGTTGGCCCTGGAGCCAGACTCCCCCTATAGGTTCCTGAGTGCTGGTGAAGATGGCATGGTCTTCGCCATTGATCTCAGATTACACCAGCCAGCCTCACCACTGGTGGTTGTCAGAGACAGGGAGAGCAAAGTAGGGCTGTACAGCATTTTTGTGAACCCTGCCGATGTCAATCAGTTCGCAGTGGCTGGAAAAGATCAGTTTGTTAGGATATATGACCAGAGAAAGATTAACTCAATTTCGAACAACGGTGTCCTTAAAAAAATTTGCCCTCCTCATTTGCTGGGCAATGACAAAATGAGTGTCACTTGCGTGGTGTATAGCCATGATGGCACAGAGCTCCTTGCTACTTACAATGATGATGACATTTACCTCTTTAATTCCTCTGATGAGGAAGGAGCCCAGTATGTTAAGAGATACAAGGGCCACAGGAATAATGCCACTGTGAAGGGGGTCAATTTCTATGGCCCCCGAAGTGAGTTTATAATGAGTGGTAGTGATTGCGGGCACATCTTTTTCTGGGAGAAGTCATCCTGCGAGATAGTCCAGCTCCTGGAAGCAGACAGCGAAGGGCCAGTTAATTGCCTTGATCCCCATCCTTACCTACCTGTGCTAGCGTCCAGTGGCCTAGATCATGAAGTCAAGGTCTGGGCCCCCACAGGAGCAGGTCCCAGTGATCTTAGGGGATTAAAAACCGTGATTAAGAAGAACAAGCTGGAACGAGATCATGACAATGTAAGCCAAAACAGCATGTTGGATAGCCACATGCTTTGGTTCCTCATGAATCAGCTGTCACAGAGAGGTCATCGCTATCCCTGGCAAACTGTTGGACTTGGAGGCATGGATGAAGAACCGGAAGATTCCTCCAGCACCTCAGATTCATCCGACGACGACGAGGGGATCCCAGACGCAGCGCAGGGCATGGCTTCCTAAAGACATCTTCCTCTGTCTAGCAAATGATACCTCCATGGAGTGGACTTTGAAATTCTACTTGGCCAGTAGAAATTTGCCTTTTGACTTCTATCCATTTTCAAAAAGTATATTAAAGACCAAATCTTCTTTCTCTTTCTTCATATTTTTTCTCCATTCCTTTCCATTCACTTGATGTCTTTACTCCAAATTCAAATGTATCTGCAGTTGATAGGCCTATTTTCCATTGCCTGTTCTCTTATGGTTGACTACTTAAATTTCATAATTTTAGGGAAAATGTAAAAACCTCATTGGCTCTGCTTTTCTGACCTGCTGGAAACTATTAGTTAAAATTCATCATTAACTATTGATTTAAAATCTCAAGTTGCTCAGTTTAAACAAAATTTGTAGAAACATGTTTATACCATTGAAGGAAAACATGATTTTGTTTCTTGAACACTTACACTTTTTCATGAACACCCAATACATCCACAAAGATAGCCTCAAACACTCACCAAAATACAGTGGGTAAATAGTTTCTTTTTTTTTCTTCTAAGCCCCTCTCGAAGTTAAATTTGATTTAATACCATTGTTTACACTTTCAATGTTCTTTATATTTTATTACTGACAGCATACATTAAATGACTTTCCAGAAAGTGCCCTCGGGAAGACCATTTCCTATAAGAATTCCGATTGTTTGCAAATGTACAATTGTATTAACTTGAAAAATAACTTGCTATGGCAAAATGCATTTGTTGATGTTCAGATAAAGTTGTTTTCCATCTTTGAAATAAAGTGAAATTCTACTAGACATCCAGCCATTGCTTAAAAGTTCTGTTAGGCTTTTATGTTGTTAAATTGCTAAATTAACAGTTAAATTAGAACTGTGCAACTATTAGGCTTATTTTATGTAAATGCTGGATACTGGATATCTCAAGAGCTGTTCAATAATAATCATTTGTTGTCTTGCCCACGGTGTTTGTGTTATTGAATGTGGAAGCTGATCTTCACTTAACACCCCTGAACATACCTTTCTTTGGAGAGAATTTATTTGGAAAGAAGACAATTAAAATTCTTAGGCCTGGACATATATGATAATATATGAAATGGGTTCTAAGTCAAGTCCCTTGGGAGTGGGTGGGGAACTTTTCATAGTAAGATTAGCCATGTTTCATCATTGCTACCCTGCACCCTGACTGGCTCATCTCCTCCCCACAACCCTTCTGTAATGGGGCCTACAGATGGGCTTTGGGTCTCTACTCTGCACCTACTCTCATTTAAAATGATATGATTTTTTTGTTTTTTGATGCCTGATACCTGGTCCCTTCTATACCTCGTGGTCACACAGGCTGGTGTGCTACTTCCATGTGGGCTTTGTTGCTTCTGAGCTAGATGGCTACTTGTTTACCTGCAACCCTTTAAGACCCCAGACGCCATATCACTTGATAGCCAGACACCATCAGTTTTTTTCACCACATTTGCTTATGCACACATTTGTCTTCAGCGATCATGTCGGGAAGGTGTGCATAATGGAATGCCAATTTAATAGAACAAAGTGTTCTTGCATTAAGTAAGTACTTGAGTAGAGGTCCAATGTTCTGCTGATGCCTTAATACTAAACCTATAAATATATGTTTCAAGATCTATTTCAGTGGAGAACTTTTCATAATAAGATTAGGCAGGCATTGGGATGAAACAGATCCTAACAAAAGTTCTTACTGAGATCCTACTCCCTGGGAGCCTCAAGTATTCCCTACCATGAGGGCCAAACACTTAATTGGAACAAAACCCCTTGAGAAGACAAACTAGAATCCCACACAACCTAGCAGTACCATGAAGAAATCATGGAGAACCATCATTTGAGATTTCTGCTTACACCTGGGTGGGAGGGAACAATAGCAGGTGCATATTAATTACTCAGTTCTCTCTCACTTGTTGCTGGGCAGGCGGCTGGCCTCTGGTGGGTGTGTTCTGTGTCAGTGGTTCAGAAATTCGTCAACAGGAGAGGTCAACAGAAAAGGAAGATAGAGGTCAGAGTAGTAAATACTGGGAAGGCTATTAACAGCTGCAGCTCCTGCAACACTGCTGCTTAGACGCTGGCTCACCATGGTTGTGTCGGCTGCAGCAAGGCCCACCAATTACAAAACTCCTCTCCACACTCCTTCATAGGGACCTCCAGCCTCACCAGCTGCATAAGAAAGAGGGCTCATTTCTCCTACCCTTTTTCCATCAAGTCAATTCTGACACATAGCGACCTTACATAAGATTTTGGACGCTGTAAAGCATGGAAGCAAAACACTTCGTCTTTGTGGTTATCAGTACAATGCTCACCGTACAGTGCTACCGGGGTTCCTTTTTTTCTCTTGCAGAAAACTGATGTCACTGTAGTTGGAGCCTTGGAGCTAGCAGAGATCTGCCCTTGGTCCCAGATAATCCTGGATCTCAGTTTGTCCCTGCATGCCTACTTCGAACCTTTCCCTGTCTGCTCAGCCAACCCCAGCCCTAGTTCCTGAAGCAAAGCTCAAAGCCTTACAAAATGCATAGCAAACTCCCGGAGTTTCATAAATTCAGGTCTGTGGACTGAAAAAAAAATCACAACCTAGATGCAACAGACTTTCTTCTGTGTGTGTGTGTGTGTGTGTGTGTATGCGATGATGATGATGATGATGATGATGATGATGTGCTCCTTTCAAGCCTAGGAAGTACAAGCATCTCAAAATCAAACTAGGTGTTCTTTTATAGGCAGAATGGAGGGGAGGCTGCCTAGCGGACAAAGCTTTCAGAGAAAAATTTTATGGGGATGTACAAAGGGAATTGATCTGCAGGTCCTGATAGGGAAAATGTGTAGGCGCACACACGCACGCACGCACACACAAACACATACACACACAACACAGCGTCTCCTGGTGAATATTCTCAGGACCAGCTGACCAAAGGACATGTTCTGCTGTTTAGTGCTTGCTCTGGATTCTAGGTAAGTGCAGTTCTGGAAGCTGTAGGGAGGACAGAGCCGAAAAAAACCAAAACAAACCCCATTACCTGCAATTGCGTTGAATGCCACGCAAAGGAACACTGTACTATAGGGTAGGGTAGCACTGCCCCTGTAGGTTTCAGGGCCTGTAACTGAATCGGAGTATTGAACCTTGTTTTTCGCCTGCAGAGTATCTGTTGGCTTCAAACTGCAGACCTTATGTTTAGCAGCCAAATGCCTAACAAATTCTGATGAAGACAATGCAGATTTAAGAAATAAGCAATTGTGAACGCTTGCGCTTTATTTTCTTGAGACTTGTTTGGAGGTTCTAGCAGGGGAGAACAACTACTGGTATACTCTTGACTGAAGGATGATGCTCCTTCTATCCTTCTATCTGAAAGGTCATCCTCTTCAATGGAGTGCTCAGCTTTGGGAGGGATGCACGTGGAGCAGTGAGGGAGGAAGGTGACACCTGCCTAGCCAGCCAGAGGAGCCAAATCAACCCTGGCAATCAATGTGGTACAGTTGTCAAAGTCAGATCACCCTCACATCCGCTCTTCATGCTCTTGAAGTCCCTTGTTAAATGTGTATCACCACCAGTGTTAGTTTTTCTGATTGAACCTTGAGCAATAAAACTCAAACACAGCTACTTTGAACCTAATAAGATTCAAGATCCCTTGGATAGTTTCTCATGTGAGAGGGGTGAAAGACTTCCAAAAGGTGGGGTTAGAGTGATTAAATGGCATAGTAGTTAAATGTTGGGCTGTGATCCTCCTGGTGATCAGTTTGAAACCAGCAGCTGATCCAAGGGAAAAAGACAGGCCTCTCTACTCCTGTAAACAAAGATCAGGTATACCCTTCCCTATGGGGTCCCTGTGAATCGGCACCAACTCAGTAGCAGCGAGTGAGATGACCATCTAGTCAATTCTGACTCAGAGAGACCCAATAAGGGCAAAGGAAACTGCCTCACAGGGTGCCAAAGCTGGGAGAAAGAATAATCGGCATTGTATTCTGATGGAGTCAGTAGCATTTTTATGGATATCGTCATGGAAACAGACTGTCTCATTTTTGCCTTACTGAGCAGCTGGCAGAGCCTAACAGCTGACCTTTCAGTTAGCACTATATCCTTAAGCATAGCATCCCCCGGGACTCCAAGGTGAAGATCCACACTTTGTTGGTGCCATCGTGTCAGTGCCGACTCCTAGCGACCCTAGTGCAGTGGAATGGTGCTCCCACACTGTCCTCGCCATCCTTCCTGAGTTTGAGCTCATTGTTGCAGCCACTGTGCCTCTCCATCTCGTTGAGAGGCCTTCCCCTTTCTTGGTGACTCTTCCAAACTTGATGTCCGCTTCCATGCTAACACGTCCAAAGTGCACAAGATGTGGACTCCCCGTTCTCCCTTCTAAGGAGCATTCTGGCTTTACTTCATCCAAGACAAATTTGTGTTCCTGGTAGTCCAAGGCATGTCTGATACCCTTCACAAGCACCATAATGCAAAGGCATCAGTTCTTCCGGATTTATTGTCCAGCTCTCATTTGCATATGAGGTGATTGAAAAATACCACGGTTTGGGCCAGGAGCACCCTAGTTCATATATATAAGTATATATAGACTGAAATAATTAATTGGAAGTACAGTTATGATTATATTTGGAAAGCAAGCTGGGGTCCATTGGAAGCTGAACTAATGGCTACAACTGTAATTTATGCAAATAACTGGCCTATTAACATATGAAAGAGCAATAACATATAACTGCCAGACTTCCAGGAAATGGTAAAACTTTGAGAAAAGCTTGCACTTCTAGATAAAAATTTTCAACATCAATTTTCTTCATTCCAATATAGAATCGGTACAGGACAAATCTGTGTAGGCCTTCATGGCCGTTAAGAAATATCAAAATTGTGCACACAAGTTGACTGCATAAATGTGCGACAGATGCCAAACTCTATTTAAAAAGATGTTTTCTGGCAGCCAGTCCTTAAAAGAGTAGGTGTGGAAAAAGGATAGCAAAGAGGCATGAAAAGTAAACATAATGGAGCCTAATTGGTAAATGGCAAGCCAAACCATTGGGGGATCATTCTGATAGCCCAAGAGCGACCTTCAGCAGTGCTTAGTCTACACTGTAGTGAATCAAAGGCATAATGCATTATGTGTACCTGAGGCTGAATCTCAGCCATGTTGTGATCAACTGCAATGAAACTTACTATTTCCGCGTGCCTGGCCTTGAGAGGCAGGAACATTGAGATTTCTTTCTCAGCCCCTTAGAGAAGACTTACTTTCTGTTTCTTTGAGGGACGGTGAAAATTCAGAGATAAGTGCATGGCCATAGGAGTTCACAGGAACCCGAAGTAGACGAACCTCCTGTATCCTGTCCTGATGCTTCGTTCCACACACAATGCCTACTGTTCTTTCCTCAAGTTAGCCATTTCTTTCTCTGTAACCATGTTACGTAATCATTTCGCTACAGAAATCAGGCGTGCATGATATACCATCTAGGGTATATGAAAGTGTAACACCACAACTGTTTGGCGTGAAAACAATGTTCAAAAGGAGGTGGGCACACACGTATGAAGAAGTTAGCCATCGTTTTCTAGGCCGTGATCTAAGAGGAGGCAGCGTGATGCTCCCATAGAACTTGATCCAACCAAGGGGATCGCCAGCGTCATTGTTTGGTGCTGGGCCATTCATTTGCTATCATTGGCAGTAGACATTGGGGAGCAGACATCTGGAATTCCTTCCTGGCTTGTAAGCGTTAATTTTAGGCGAGCAGGCCCCAGAGCACTGTGAGGGCGGGTGACTGAGGGCTCACCTGGTATGAGCGACCCAAAGGTATCACCGTGTGAGCACAGCTTCAGCTCCTGAAATGGAAGTTCAGGGCTATGAGGAGACCAAAGAACGCCTGATGGCAGAGGGGTGAAAGCGCTTGGCTGCCAACTGAACAGACGCTTCTGCCCACCAGGCCCTCCCTGGGAGAAAGATGTGGCAGTCGGCTTC